TTCGGACAGGGAAATGGTCTTCCCACATGGTCATGTGTAATGTTGTGGGGAACACCTTGCATTGTATTCTCTTCCAATTCTCTTCTTTTGTTTTGTTCATGAGTGTTCCTGTTTTATTTCCCATGTGACGCTACGTATTGTTTTGTAAGGTTTTATGTTTGTTATGATATTTTTTGACTCTCTCGACATACTGCTCCTTTGGGTTTGCTCACTAGGGGCTGCTTGGAGTGACTATAAAATTGTTATTTTCTTGTTTATTCGGTGCTAAGTGCTATTTAAATGTTTTTTAAACAAAGGTCTCTTGAGTACGTTTTCATATTTTTACGCCTTTGATCTTTGTGCAATAAAAATACAAAATATAATAAAAGATAAGTTTTAGAATAAATAAGAGTGCACACCTTCGGTATAACCAGTTTAGATTGTGGTGGGTATCACTTTTGTATTTTGCCATTTTTTGAATTTGTCATTGTGGTGGCAGTCACATTTGAATTGATTTGTTTTGGGACGGCTTTGTTTGCGGCATCTTTGGTTTTGTGCGCATCGTTGAAGCGCTGTGTAGCATGCATATCTATTGGCTTCAAGAAACGACAATAAACAGTTGGTAGTCCTGTGCTCTTTCCTGTCTCCCTTGTTTTCCTTCAAGTTTGTGCAGCAAATCAATTTTTCAAATTCATACATCACACATCCTGAACCTGACACGCTACCCCCTACACCAAACTTGAAAGACGTGAATGAATGTATTTTTTTCCTCAAATTTTAATTCAGGTCTCCAATATTTTGATTTTGTCGCCTACATACATTGTTTCGTATCTTCGTGCTCACGCCAAACTAACAGGTGATGATTAGCGTATTTTTTGCGGGTTGCCTTTAGATCACATTCATCTGGCATGTTTTGCCATAAAGCTTCTTAGCATAGCTGCAGCTCTGTTACGGCAATCGTAGTGACTCGCTTTGTGGTTAATCATACCAAAGTAGAAAACAGCTGCTTATCTGAACTGCTCACTGAACACTGTAGATTTTGGCCTCTCGATAGCTTTGGAAGTATTTTATGTCGTTCTCGTTTACGTTCCGCGTACGACAGTCGCAGCAGTTCACTCCAGCCGAAACGACTATTAGGCTTAGGGCCGTACTTATCGTGCCACGGTTGCTACGAAGATCAACCATATTCAGTTAGACAAAGTCTAATAACCGTTAAACTGCAGTTTCGATCATAACTGACGCACGAGTGCTCATATTTTCACCTTCGGACTACACCAATCAGAAGCTAAAACACGGAGATTGGGCATAGCAACAGATTTCTTTGCTGCCGGGGATGTGCGGCTTTCTGCTGGTACGAGCTGGAACGACTCACTGCTAGAGTAGGTTGGTCTTGAGTATCACACTTATACTTTGTTATGCTCTGTTGCGAATTATCAATTCTATATTGATGCCATTTATGAAATACATTGACAAAACTCGACCAAACTTCAAGGAAAGCGCACCCTGGTCAGGGGGGGGGGGCATCTGTGGGTGGGCTGGGGACTTTTTTCTAGAAATTCTCGCATGCCTCTCCTTCCCCCACCCCTCAAGAGCAACCATAGTCAAAATACGACGTATAAGTTGTGTGTCACCCTGCCCCCTGCATAAACACAATTGTCGTTCGTGCCTCCCTCGCCATAAAAATCGTAGTGGCGCCCCTGACACGCGCGCTAGACATATGATTGCTTCAGCGTACTCGCACTTACATCGATTGCCCAACTAAAGGTAAAGCTAGATATGTGTAGCTCATAGATAGAATACCATTTTGTTCGGTAAATTTTACGCTAGACATCTCGCGATTAAATATGAAGTCTTACAAAAGTGCGCTGATCGCGCCTACCTTCTTCTAATGTAGCCGCTAGTGTTCTCAGTTTGTGGTAGAGACTGTACAGCGTGACCAGTGCCTCCCAGCGCGCTTTAAGACACTGGGATACGCTGTACAGTGTGTCCCAGTGCCTACCAGCGCGCTGTAATACACTGGGACACACTGCACAGCGTTTCCATTGTCATCGAGCGCGCTGAAATGAACTGGGAGACACTGGAAACGCTGTTTTTTTCGATAGGGAGGGACGGATTGGCGAATACAATAACGAATGTAGGGACGAACGGATGCATGGACGCAGGGACAGACGCACGGATGCACGTATCGGACCAACTGACGCACGGAAGAATGCATGGACGGACCAATGAACGAATGGACTGTCGCACGTACGCCCGGAAGCTAGAAGGAACCAGTGGACTCACTGATGCTTCGTTTAACTCATCCTTCACTCCGTTGACATTCCGTGATATTTTTAGGTGCGAAGCTCCTTAAGGCGTGGATCACGCGTCTCCTGTATGTAGTAGCCACCTTTCGTTTTATTCCTTGGCATGTCCACTGGACGGCGGTACTTGTATATGATGATTACATGACGAAAAGGTGCGAGATCGCGGTAGTTAAAGTGTTCACTAGAGGAACGGACAGACAGATGGACAGACAGACAGACAGACAGACAGCCAGACAGACAGACAGACAGACAGACAGACAGACAGACAGACAGACAGACGAACGCACGTACAACAGACACACAGACAGGCAAAGAGACGATGAGGCAGGCAGACAGTCAGACGGAAAGACAGGCAGACGTATAGACTGGTAGACAAACAGACGTACGGATGCTCGTGCGGACAGACATACAGGCAGAGGCAAACAGACGAACAGACGGACAGACGACCAGGAGAGAGCTGGACGGACGGGTTAACACACAGAAAGACGTTCGGACAAACAGACGTACAAACAGACAGACAGACAGACAGACCAACGCACGGTAGATTTGCCACACTCATCATCATTCACTCCGTGGATGTGCTGAGACATTTTAGGGGGTGAAGCTCCTTCTCATCTGTCACGTGTAACTTATAGAAAAGGCGAGAAAGAAAAGAAGGCAGTATCTCCCGAACAGTATAATAGACGGCGCTGTCTCATAGAAGTACATACAAACTGCAGTGGAGTCAGGATATTCTAGATGGCGCTGTACCACTAATCTCCGATTGGCTGCTGCGCGGGCTGTGCCTGGGTACACGGAGAACGAGTGCTCTCAGTCTCCTGGATAGTCGCCGTACGCGGCGGGATCGTTGGTGGGGCACGGGCGAATCAGAGCGGTAGGCGCGTTGAAGACCCTTGCGTTCGGCTTTCTTTACTCGCGTCTGGTCAGTGTTACCCGCGCACCGTGCTGCATTGTCGAACGCGATCGGACGTATGAACGCATGAACGGAGGGGTGGACGCTTTACCCCACTCATTATCACTTACTACATGGATATGCTGTGATTTTTATTGCGATAGCAACTATACGAAAACTCTCGGCTGGATTTAGCCGCCAGCGTCACCATCACTGACCGTATGTGTATATGTATCTATATGTATGAAAACACGAGAAAGAAAAAAGAACCAGAAAAAAGACGCCGGCGTGCGGAATCGAACTTAGGTTCTCCGAATCATGAGTACGAGCCGTCAACCACTGAGCCACCGAGGAGCACGTACTTCACCATTTAAACAGCAGGCTATTTATATTTATCACTTACAGCTGCTGACGGACATCTCGGGCGGCATTATGTTTTCAAGAATACCAGCAAGATGGCGCAATGAGCGCGCGTCGCCACATGGTGTGATGGCGCATGGACTATACTCCAACGCGTTCTTTGCCCCGCTTGGAGGAGAGGAGCGACGCTCTCTCGGGCGCCCTTATCTCGCGTTGGGAAGAAGGAGAAGATCGTACGTCTTTGCTGGCCTTGGGCTTACCTGTGACGATTCTGCTGTAGTTTTTTTTTCAATTGTCCTTTTTTAATCATTGGTCCTCTCATCTGTGTGAGATCTCCTCGCCCTCTTGAATGGATATATATTCCCGCCATCTGTGCAATAAAATTGGTTGTAAATGTGCACTCTGTCCTATCTCTCGGCTCTATCTTCCTTCTGATAACGTTTTCGGCGCACTAAGGAAGTATATTTCTTTCAAAAATGCAATACCAACCAGCCCAAATAGCCACTGTTTTTCTGTAGTTAGCAGTCGCAGAAAGGTCACTGCAATAAATGCAGTCTCCGTTTGCGAAATGCGCGCGCTTTTCAAACACGACGAAGTAGCAACTTAGACAGTTATTCGCGTGCATCCGTACCTGTGAGCACGTTTCGTGCGTCATTTGTGCGTGAGAAACGCGGGAACGTTTAGGTCTGATTTCCATTCTGCGCGTGACCTTCCAGTTTCTTGCCATCGCGTTCATTGCTTCGCCTTTGCGGTAAAGCTGTGACTTTTTTTCTTTCTTGAGTGTTCATATACGTAGATACGTATATTGTGAGCACTATTCGTACTGTTAGCGCTATTCATATTACTCGCCTTCTCACCTGTAAATACTCATCCTCGACCGCTTGGGTTTAGGCTGCAGCTGTTTGGCACTTCGATTATGAGAATATATGAGAATACATATATGCTATGCATTTCTGAGAAATTCAAATAAAATGTACGACGCGATAATTTGTCCATTGCGGTTCAAGAAAGTCTTCAGAAGTTATCAGTAACCTAGGCATAATTACGCTTTTAGTTTCAATGACGTAGAAACACCGCCAGAGTGGGATACATTTTCTTTTGGCAGAGAACCTCACCAGAAAGTAACTCATCTGCCTGAAAGATAGACACGATGCATTTAAGCTCGAGCGCACTTGGTAATCGATTCAGAACAACATTATAATGTTGATTCAGCCACACATTCTGTAAGTGTAGTACTCGTTAGAAATGCGTCGTCACCAATTCGAATAGCCCAGCTACTGGTATAGCTTACCGGCAGCGAGGACAAGTTCCGCTGGTGGCACGTCACCCTTGACATCGTGTCGGTGGACGCCATGCTCGAGTAGTCCTTTCAACTGCGCCCCAGTCACGTTCATCTCTACAAGGGTGTTGCCAAACGGAAGCACGTTCACCACGTCCTCGAAGGTGATCCGGCCGCCTGTGCTCTGCGTGGTCGTAATCACCACCACCGAAACACTTTGATTAAAGGCTTGCATGCTGGTCTAGTTAGAACCAGCTAAACTTCACGAAATTTACATGTTCCGCATGCCACCAATACCCACATATGCTGCCTGTAGAGCTTTGGAGGTTAGTGTGCAACCCGGAAACCGCCAAAAAATGCTTCTTGTTCACTGTTCAGAGTGGTGATTGTTTCCAGCAACCGAAAAAGAAAGCACAGATGATCTATTCGAAAATCCTACTGCGCGCTCAACGCCTAGCAGCTGCGCCTGGAAACGGCGCTAACAGGGTCAGTGTTGACAGGAATATGTGACCACGTTGCACGTGTTGAGAAGCAACCACGTAGTTCCTGTATTTTCGCAATGCTGCACGCGTGACCTCAAAGAAAAAAGCGGTGTTTGAAGAGCATTGCTGTTTGCCGCATGGCGTGGTATCGTGGTGTAGAGATGGCAATATATCGTTCTATTACTTCCCAAAGGATGCAGACGATGCGAGACGCAGAACGGCGCAGATCAGAAACTTACGCATTGGAAAGAAAGTGATAGACAATATGGTAATTTGTTGTAATCATTTCAGTCGTGACGGCTTCATTCTTCCCGGTAAGTACATCATTATTTAGTGTGTGTGTGTACTTTTTAATAATCGGGCATCTCTAAGCGTGCACCATATTTTTGTATGTGTAAGCAAGCGCTTTAGGAAAAAGGGTGCGTTATAATGTGCGCATTTTTTTGCGTATGCTTGTTTTCTGCCCAAAGTAAGCTGCTTTAATACTTCCCCTCAAAAATGTTTGATTTCACGTGTGTGTATACAGGGTGTTTGAAGGTATCTATCCATTATATTAAAAGTACAGAGAGGAGGTATCTGCGTGCTACCTGTGGCGTTACCTTTACATGTGGCAGAGGACATCATAGGATGCATAAAAACATGACTTTGCTTGGGAAGTAAAAAAAGCACAAAATAAGACACAAGGACTGAGGAAGATACCACAGGACGCTGAACTCGCAGCTAAAAGTCATTGGAAGGGACACACACATATGGCAAGCAGCCGACGTAGTCTCGTAGAGGAACACCATGGCGTCTGAGCATCAAAGAAACACGATACAAAGAAACTAGTCATGCTGCAAAGCGACACGCGTGTAATAAAAAAAAACAAACAAAAAGTAAAAGAAGAAACCTTCTACTGGCAAAAGCATGCGTTAAAACCCATAAAAACTCGCTTTAACAAGGCAGCACTGAACCCAGGAACCACTGAACCTCTTTTTCACCAAGGGCTACAGACGGTTTACTGAAGCAGTTCTCCACCTCTATTTTTACGTAAAATTCCTCCATCACCTCACCAAAGCATTTGTCCCGACGGCCAAACAACCAAGTGGCTCCATGTGCCATTGGCTGGCAGCTACACTCCCTCCAATAAGCTGCAGAGTGCAAACCGTGAAAAAGTCGTTATTGAGGTTAAGTGTTTCTTTACCCCCGTATTCCGAAACTAGTCTCGACATGTATTGCAGCCTTCACTTGACCGAGCTGAGCACAGCGCTGCGGCTCGACTAAAACATGCAGCAGTTCTTACAAAACAACGCCAGCTATCATTCATCTGCAGCGATCATTTTTGCCGGAAAATAAATCTGTGATAGACATTCTCGTGTCAGTGTGGTGTGCCGAGTGAAGGGACGTTCTTGAATGCGAGGGTTAGTCTCATAGTAATAGATCACCTGATTTGTCCTATATGAACTCTCCGCATGATAATGACACCTTATATACAACACATAATTTACATTGAACACATCTATTCTTTCTCTTCTCCGGACGGAACGAGCGAGTCTTGCACGAACCCGAACTTCTATGCAAGCGGGAGCGAATAGAGGGCATCTATTGGGAGCTGACATCACAACATGTACCCAATACTTACTGCCCATATTTTTCAAGAAATCTAAAAGCTTAGGTATGCCGGAGACCACAACCATTCTCTTTTCAACGTGCATGCACTCTTTTCTACGCATATCAATCTTGCCTTCCACACACTTGATTAGCTTTTCACAGCCCTAAAGATTTCTGTATCAGGGTAGCCGTCGACTTTAGCCTTTCAGGCGGGCTACCCTGTCAAAGAGATCTTGAGGGGCTGTCAAAAGCTAATCAAATGGGTGAGAGGCAATAATTACGCCTGTAGGAGAACAAAGTGCGAGCGCAAAAAACGACAAGCCTGCGCGGAAGGCACAGTAGAGTGGCCTTTCAAAGCCTTTTCAAACACTCATTGGCTAACTGCTGCAAGAAAACTTGCTTGATTCCCGCTATGGCATTAATAATAAGAATTTTATGGTAGTATGCCTGCATTTGCTATGCTGTTTTTCGTCATTATACTAAGATGCATGGTATCCGCCATACTATTCGGAGAAATTTTGTGCCAATTGTTCATGCAGTGGCTAACGACGATGAGGAAATGTGCTTGAAGTGGGTATGCGCCACAGTTAATAACTGAACGAAAAAAATGGCAGCATATCCACGGAGTGAATGATGGAGAGGGGGGCGAAGAATTCGTCCGTCCATTCGTTCTTGCTTCCGTCCGTCCATGCGTCCGTCAGTGTGACCGTCCATGCGTCCATCACCCGTCCGTGCGGGCGTCTGTTCATGCGTCCTTCCCTGCGTTCGTTCATGCAGCCGCCCCTGCGTCCGTTCATGCGTCCATCCACGCATCTGTCTATGTGTCCGTTCGTCCATCTATTCAACACTCCAGGTACCACCATCTCGCATCTTTTCATCATATATTCCCCATATAGAAACACCGCCATCCAGCGGACATTCCAAGGAGTAAACGAGAGGTGGCACACGCACACTTTGTTACGGCTTGCGCTTCGGGTCCACTTCCCACCTTTAACCACCTCGAGTTCATGGTATATACTAGTTCACTGTATTTATGGCACTGCGGCCGAACGCTCGCTAACCTTTAGAAAACCAAGGAGGTTACGCCCAGCGAGTATGACGTAGCAAACTTTTTCAGTCAGATAGTGCTCAATGCACATGCCAATGACTGCTAATGGGAAATGAGAGGCGGAGAATTCGGCTTTTACTTTCTTACGGCTTGTGCTTCGTATCTACTTCCCATTTTTAACCACCTCGCGTTCATTCAAGGTATATACAAGTTCATTGTATTCATGGCACTGCGGCTCAACACTCGCTAAACCTTTCTAAAGCTAAGGAGGTTACACCCAGCGAGTATAACGTAGCGAACCTTTTTTTGTCAGATAGTGTTCAATGTACATGCCAATGGCTGCTAATGGTGATCGCAGCCTACGCGTTAACTAAAAGCCGAATGCTCCTGTCTCTCATTCCCCATTAGCAGCTATTGACATGTACATTGAGCACTATTTTTTATTGTTCAACAACGCACAGAAGAAGTCTCTCACCGGCACCACCTTGGAGGTCAAAATGTTATACTTGTTAGATACTACGGGGGACGAACGGGTGCCGCTATAGGGAGCTTCCCCCCTAAAAGCCTTTGTTGTAGTGAGTTAGCGCATCGGACGACTCGTAGTACGTAACCACCAGTGGCACATACCCGAAATAGCGGTCCTTACGATTTTGACCTCCAAGGTGGTTCCGGTGAGAGAATTCTTCTGTGCGTTGTTGAACAATAAAAGATAGTGCTCAATGCACATGTTAATGACTGCAAAGGGGGAATGAGAGACAGGAGCATTCGGCCTTTAGGTAACGCGCACGCTGCGATCCCCATTAGCAGCTATTGGCATGTACATTGAGCACAATCTGGCAAGAAAGGGTTGCTACGTTATACTCGCTGGGTGTAACCTCTGGCATGTACATTGAGCACAATCTGGCAAGAAAGGGTTGCTACGTTATACTCGCTGGGTGTAACCTCCTTGGTTTTTGAAAGGTTTAGCAAGCGTTGGGCCGCATAGCCATGAATACAGTGAACTAGTATATACCGTGAACTCGAGGTGGTTAAAGGTGGGAAGTAAACCCGAAGCGCAAGCCGTAAGAAAGTGTGCATGTGCCACCTCCCGTTTAGTCCTTGAAATGTCCGCTGGATGGCGGTGCTTCTATATGGAGAATATATGATGAAAAGATGCGAGATGGTGGTACTTGGAGTGCTGAATAGATGGACGAACGGACACACAGACAGATGCATGGATGGACGCATGAACGGACGCAGGCGCGGATGCATGGACGAACGCAGGAACGGACGCATGAACAGACGCACGCACGGACGGGTGGATGGACGCATGGACAGTTACACAGACGTTCGCAGGAACGGACGGAAGCAAGAACGAATGGACGGACGAATGCTTCGCCCCACTCCCCATGATTCACTCCGTGGATATGCTGCCATTTTTTTATTTCTAATTTCGCGAGATGTGGTCAAGGACACGGGCAGCGGTGGGGCGGCCGCGGTGGTGGACAACTAGGACGCAGCGCGAGACCCGACTCTGACCTCAAAACAGCTTTCACTGTATTAAAAAATGGCAGCCTATCCACGGAGTAAATAATGGATAGTGGGCGAAGCATCCGTCTGTCCATTCGTTCTTGCTTCCGTCCATCCATGCGTGCGTCTGTGTGGCCGCCCGTCCGCGTGTGCGTCTGTTCGTAAGTCCGCACGGTCATCTGTGCGTGCGTCTCTGCTCTCGTCCATGCATCCGCTCCTGCGTCCGTCCATATATTCATCCATCCGTGCAGCCATCCGTGCGTCGGCCGCGCATCTGTCTATGTGTCCGTTTGTTCGCCTATTCAACACTCCAAGTACCGCTATCCCGCATCTTTTCATCATATCTTTTTCATATAGAAGCACCGCCACCCAGCGGACATTCCAAGGACCGAACGAGAGGAGGCACACGCACACTTTCTTACGACTTGCGCTTCGTGTCTGCTTCCCACCTTTAACAACCTCTAGTTCATGGTATATACTAGTTCACTGTGTTCATGGCACTGCGGCCCAACGCTCGCTAAACCTTTCTGAAACCTAGAAGGTTACGCCCAGCGA